TAAAGGGAAGAAACCGGTTGGATGTAGATGGGTGTTCACTGTGAAACATAATGCTGATGGTTCTGTTGGAAGGTATAAGGCTCGATTAGTTGCAAAGGGATTTACTCAAACATATGGTATTGACTACTTGGAAACTTTTGCACCAGTAGCAAAGATGACCACTATCAGAGTCCTATTATCTATTGCAGCCAGTTACTCTTGGCCGTTGTATCAGATGGATGTTAAAAATGCCTTCCTCAACGGAGACTTGCAGGAAGAAGTTTACATGTAGCTGCCTCCTGGATTTTATGGTACAAAGACAAGAAATAAGGTTTGTCGGTTGAACAATGCTTTGTATGGACTAAAACAGTCCCCTAGAGCTTGGTTTGATAGATTCAAACGAGCCTTTGAAAGGTTTGGATATGTGCTGGCCCAATCAGACCACACCTTGTTTATTAAGAGAGTGGATTCTTCCTCAACCTTGCTTGCTGTATATGTGGACGATATTGTAGTAACAGGGAGTGATACTAGTGAGGTTGAGTCCCTTAAGCAACTCTTTCATCAAGAGTTTGAGGTAAAAGATCTGGGAGAACTACGATACTTCTTGGGCATTGAGGTAGTTAGATCCAAGCATGAGATTTTTTTTCTCAAAGAAGTATGTTTGACTTGTTGGAAGAAACAGGAAAGTTGGGTGTTAAAGCCTGTTGACACACCTATTGAACAGAACCACAAGATCAGTGCAGAGGGTGGAGAGCCTCTTGAAGATAAAGCTATGTTCCAACGGTTAGTTGGAAAACTTATCTATCTTTGTCTCACACGACTCGACATCAGTTATGCAGTCAGTGTAGTTAGTTAGTATATGCACTCTCCTAGAACTACTCACCTCATTGCAGTTGAGAGGATATTAGCATATTTGAAGAGGTGCCCAAGTAGAGGCATTTTGTTCAAGAATAATGACGACCACATGAAGATAGAAGTTTACATGGATGCTGATTGGGCTAGGTGTGTTGATGATCGAAGATCTACCTCTGGATATTGTGTTTTTGTAGGAGGTAATCTTGTCTCTTGGAGGAGTAAGAAACAAAGTGTTGTTTCTCGTTCCAGTGCTGAAGCTGAATATAGGTTTATGGCAAATGGTGTGGCTGAAATTCTATGGTTGAGATCGTTATTTGAGGAGTTGGGTATTATTTATGAGAAACCCCTAATGTTGTACTATGATAATTAGGTTGCCATTAATATAGCCCATAATCCAGTACAACACGACAGAACTGAGCATATTGAAGTGGACCGACATTTTATCAGAGAGAGGGTTACATCTCAAGAAGTATTCCTTCCGTACATCACCTCCGACATGCAGTTTGCAGACCTTCTCACCAGGGCTGTTTCAAGAAAGAAGTTAGAGGAAGATCTATGCAAGTTGGGAATGACAAACATCTATTCCCAACTTGAGGGGGAGTGTAGAAAACATTAATGTGGACCCCACATTACTGTGTCTGTATGGAAGCAATAAGTTATGATTAGGATTAGTCTTTTAATTATGTTTATCTTATCTTATCTTATCTTGCCATGTAAGCAATTTAGTCCTTTTACAATTATAACACTATGTATATAAATTTAAAGAGTGGGGTGGCTGTTTCAATACACCAACCACTCTCTCCTTTCTCAAACTTCTCTACAAGTTCTCCCTCTCATCTCTCTTCTTCTCCTCTCCTCTTCTCTCCTCTTCTTTTATTTTTTTGTTGAAAACCTAAAGCTATTTGTAGTCTTGTGCTGACATTTCTGGTACATGGGTACGGATGCTTGTTTTTCTTTCCAGTTCCCACCTCCTTTGCTCAAAATCATCTAGAGCTCCTGCAACCATAATCCAACCTTGCTTCTTTTTCGCTTCTGGTATACAGGTCACTTGCTTCTTTCCATTTCTAAACGCCTCAGTTAGCTGAATGAAGGTACCCTTGTTATTGCTTTTCTTCTCCACCAATTATCTTTTCCTACCACACACCAACTCTCCTTTCCATCCAGGCTCTGTGATGGCAAGTATTGTTCCATCAAGGAAACCTTTGAACCAGCAAATCGCCTCCCTCCCCAAAACTACTAAAGCTCTCTTATCTTCTCTGATTTTAATAGCTGAACCTCCACCGATTTCTTCCATAAGAAATCTTTTCTTTTCCACAACCATTATCTTCCTCCACTTTGTTTCTAGCAGGAACCTTTCCTTCGTCATCATGTTCACACTTCTTTCTTTCGTTGTCAGCAATCACCAATTTCTTCCAGAATCCGTTCTTTTCACCCTTCTCACCCATCCAGAAGGCTGAGAACACTTTGCTGCCCATTCATTCTTCTCCTCTCTTCTCTCCTCTTTTCTTCACTTCTTGCATGCTCCTTCTTTGCATGTGATCTGTATACCAGAAGCGAAAAAGGAAATAAGAGGGTGGGTTGGGTCTAGGAAACATTAGGAAGAAAAACCTTGCTCTTTTAAGTAAATGGTTGTGGCACTTCCCCTTGGAGAATGAGAGATTGTGGCATAAAGTGGTGTCAAGTATTCCTGGGCTTTCTAGGAACGGTTGGGATGCTGGTATTCTGCAAAGAGCCAACCAAACTACACCATGGAAAGCAGAGCATGGTATTCTTCCTCAACCATGCTAGGGATCTCCCTTTGAAAGTTGTGTTCCCTTCTTTGCATGCTCTATCAAGCCTTAAATATAAGTTGTGTTCCCTTCTTTGCATGCTCTAGCGAGGGTTGGAACTTGGGGTTTGTGAGAAGCCTGAGAGAGTCTGAAATCCCTTAAGTGTCTAACCTTTTCAATATCTTTGATAACCTGGTTTTTAATGAGCCTGGGGAAGATAAACAGGAGTGGAATCTCAGTCCCTTTTTTTTTTGATCAATAACACTTTCATTAACTCATCAAAAGAAGATTTACAATAGGAAGACAAACACACTTATCTTCCAAGAGCAACAAAGAACCTCAAGAAAAGAAAAGAAAAGAAA